AGGCCGGTGCCCTCTGGGCCTAGCAGGAGCCACAAACAGCCAAGGGGCTGCTGGTGCCTGGCCGGGCTTCTCCGTGGCGCTCCCAAAATCCAGTTTATTTCTCAGGGGCGTGAATCCTCAGCTGCCTTTGAACAGCCCTGGTGTGGTAAAGGTGCCTGTAGCGATTACCTTGTGCGCTACCTGCATTTGCTTTTTGTTTGCGTTCTGCATACAATAATGAGCACTTACTGCTAGATTTCTGCTGCAGTAAAATGCTCTCCGCAGTGTTAATGTGCGCTGGGCTGCTCTACAGCTACATGGGAGGAGTGGCAGTGTGCTGAGTTTTGGAAAGATGTCATCTCTTTTAGTCTTTCCTTACAACTTTCAGTCACTTCTCATGCTTGAAGTAATTACAAGCACCTGATGATCTTCTAAAGAGCAAAGTTTATTTTGGCAAAGAGTAACTCTTCTCGATGTACTCACAGTGACTTGTCATTAGAGGCTCTCTTCTCTGAGAGGCAACAAATCTGAGCAGGGGAAACTTTCTTGTGAAGGGACTTGGGAAAACTTGGAAAAACTTTTTTTTTTTTTGTTAACATTTAGAGGTTACTTGGAAGCTCGTTTAATGCAGAGGCTTATTTGCTTACTGTCTGTTACTTCTGTGAGAAAGTTTAGAGCAGTTGGTCCCAGCTGTCCACGCGGAATGAGTAACAGGTAGGCAAATGTCATTATTGAGAGGCCCGAGAGAAGACAAAGTTGTGCTAAGTGGCATTGATGGCGGGATGGATTTCTTCCCAAAAGGAATGATCCTGTACAGGTAGCAATTCACATATAAGCATTTTGGACTTATTTAATCTCAATTACACCAAGTTATATATTTTAGTGAAAATGTTTGATTAGCCTCATCTAACAGGAGTTCTTCTTATATTAACATTGTGCTGCATTGTCATTACAGTTCTATTTTGTGATATAAAGAAATATCAGCTGTCTGCTTGCCAGTGTATACTTAAATCTCAATAATGGAGTCTCTTTATTTTTTTACCAGTGGGTTTCAAAGGTGAGATCTTGATGTTCAAATCTGATCTCTGCTGCTGGGGCTGGTCAGAGCTGTTAGGATTTTAATGTGGTTCTGTGGAGTCAAACCGGAGTGCAGCATGTCCTGCGTAACAGGATGCGTCCTGCAGTGTTTAAGGGTCTGTGAACTTGAATTCTAACTTCTAGTTAGTTCAATGCTGTCAACTCTTCTAGCTTTTCAGAAATGGAAAGCCAGGCCTTCCAGATTATGATGCTTTTAAAAATCTGATTGTTTTTATCTTCTTCCTATTCATGATTTCCTGATGTTTACCATGTCAGGTTTTTTCTTTACTATCAGGAGACTAATACTTTATTTATATGTGTATATACACACACACTTATTTTTTGTTGGAATCTGATTTTTCTGTCATTACACATTTTCCTGTAACTAAGGCTTTTGGGTACGATCTGAGTGTGAAGTACTGTATCTTTGCACGCTTACCCTCTGTTCTTCAGAAATTGAGCCCTGGGAGATCTGCAGAGGCAGGTTAACCTCCAGAAAAGCTCCAGACAGGAGGGCTGCAGGGCAGGGAGCAGGATGTGAAGGAATCCAGGCGGGATGGGAGTGGAAGGCCTGGGGTAGCCCTCCCCTGTGCTGCCCTCATCCACGTGCCCTCGCTGTGCAAGTCGGAGCTGTGCAAACGGGCATTGCGTGCGCGTGTGTAACGCTCTGTTTTCCCTCTCTTGATGGCTGCCTGAGCTGTCCCCCAGGAGCTTCTCGCCAGCTCTGCATGGGGAGCCAGTAGCCTCTTCTCTTCCTGGGCCTTCTCTGCCAGGGGGCCTTTTCTTGGTGGTCTCCAAGTTGTCCCCTAGCAGCAGAACCGCCTTCTCCAACCTGGGCCTCCGGACGGTTGCAGGGGTGAATTCCTTTCCTGTAACAGGACTGATGCAACTGTTTCCAGATTAGCTGAAACTATTTACCATTCTTTAACATATTTCTGTGTCTAGGTAATTCTTAAACGGATTTCTTTTTTCGTGGTTGAATTTAGTATTGCATTTTTGTTGTATTGCCCAATATAGTGCTTGACCTTGGTAAATGCTTTTCACAGCCCTTTACAAGCTTCTGTGGAGACAACACCTTAGGTCTAAATGAATGCGGAGTTTTTGAGCAGTAACCAAATGGAATGGAAAATGGAAGTCATATTTCATTCTGTGTGGCTGCATTTTTCTTATAAAGCTTGTCCTTGAAAACAAAATATATCATGTGTTAAATCAAGAGACTTTTTTTTTTTTTTTTTTACCTGCATGCTAGGAATTGGAAATGTTGCAGACAGTTCCACCCAAGATGCTTTCCTAAACTCCCATCTGGAAGGTGATAGTCAAGGTTGGAATGGAGCAAGTGACAAGCAATTGACTTACCTTGCAGTTCTTGCTTGAATTTAAACCGTAATTTGTTTATTTTCCAGTCACTGATTTTTATTTATTTATTGTGCCTGATACTGCATGAAGGTGTTAAGTTAGGGATAGCTGCTGTATGACTTTCTGTGCTATATATTTTACTTGTTTGTACTGTTCTTGTGAACAGCAAGTCCAGAACTTGAATAATATATGTATATATATTTTAGTAATTTCAAGAGTTTTCTCAGGCTGTAGCAGGTTGGTTATCATGTAAAAACACTGTATTAGTAGTGTTTTGTAGCCTGTTTGCTAAACGGAGATAACAAAACCTCGAATAACTGAATTTTGATGCTGGATTCTTTACCTTGTCACACACAACAAGAGCCCCCTATATTACGTTGTTTTTCTGCGCATACGAATTGCTTGCAAGATGCAATGTAGCTCTTTGTGATTGCTGCACTGGTTTAGAGTTTTGTCAAAATTCCCCACCAAGCTGAGGTAGCCCTGCCTCAGAGCTGTGGGTTCTCTTAAGCTCCTGGGTTTGGGCAGTCTCGGGTCTATGAAGTTCAGCAAAGCTGCTGCTAGTTACTTTTATCAGAGTAAAACAAGACTTGCCTTTTTTTCTTGTTTTCCTCACCTTTGTCACAGCCCCGTGCGTCCAGGAGGGTCCTGAACGGCTCTCAAATGAGTTCAGCAGCAGGGGATGCCTGCAGAGAGGTTACGTGAGTTAATCCTCCCGCAGAAATTCAATCCCCGGATTGCGTTTTTAAGACCACTTTGCGTAGCAAAGTAGTTTAAGCGGGAGCAGATTTTCCCCTGGCTGCTGCTTAATTTCATGCCCTGGCAAGGGTCAGCGCACTAATGCCGCCGAACACGGCGCCCGCGCCAGCGCGTGGGGAGGCCGCCGCCGCGCTCGCTTTAGGTGAGCTCCACTCAGATGCCCTTTATCTGTTTGAGTTCAAGATGGGCTCTCAAAAACTTCTCGGAGGAAAGAGGAGAGAAAAAAAAAAGAAAAAAAAACACTTCTTTTTCGTCTCCTGAAGTTCAAAGGACAGAGTGGCCTTATAAGGCTTTAATTGGGAAGCAACTGTCTGACCCTGGTTGTCTAAACCTATGGAAGGAATTCTGACTAACTTGTAGTTTTGTAATCCTCCTGCCTGTCTGAACCCTTGACCTTTTTGCTTTATGACTAGAGGTTCATTGTCACTGTTTGTCCCTGCAGTTCCTTTCAAAGAAAACTGCCTTGCAAGTGTCTGTTTCCACTTTGCTGCTGTGTTCTGTTAAGGAAGGGCATTAATTCATACCTGATACATCGAAGGGGCCAAGACTTTTGAACTTGCACAAGAGCTTGGGGAGGGGGAAATAAGCATAGCAAAAGCATGTCTTGCTGATGCAAATGAGTACAATGAAAACAATCCTGGGAGATCAAGGCAAGCGTGGGCTTGCTACCAGCATTCAAATTCACTCAGATACAGATTATTTGTAAGATTAACTTAAAAGTACCTCGTTTTGCTGAGTTTCTTGTAAGCTGCTAAGAAGATTTGTTAACTCAGGGTTAGTCTTGCACTGTCTTCTAAAAAAATATACTTGCATCAGTATGAAGTTTGCTCGATGACAACTTTGTGAAGGTATGACTGCCCCCCTGTCCCATCCCAGGACAATTAGAGTTTTTCTAGGCCTTTCTTCATAAAAGGCTTCATTTTTTTATCCCGTTATTGATTCCTACCACTTTGTAGGACAGGAGAGAGAGTCTCTAGGGGTTTGGGTCCTATTCATAGGCTCTTGTCAGTGAGAGGGCCAGACTGGAGGAATTTCACTGAAGTCTATTAGAGGAAAAAGGAACACTGGTTCAGCTTGGGAATCAGTTGTGTTTCTGCAGGATGAAAGTTCTTGGAGCAAGTGGCCGTTAGTGGGTGGGTTTTAGAAGGGGAGTAGGGAAATGAATGGGTGATAGCAGTTTTAGCAGGTATCTTCTTCCTACTTGAAGAAGTGGATAATGTTTCTTTTAATGTATGTAGTAAAACAAACTAAAGTCACACTGAATTAGTCAGAATATGTAGAGGTGGTGCGAGTTCATCTATGTGCCTCCTTCAGCACTTTTAATCCTTTATTGCTGAGTGAGGTGTCACCGTTAATGCGGTTGTGCACGAGTGGGCTGGCTGTGAGGTGCTGTGTCCGTGTCCAGCGGCTGAAGGGGAGTATCTGTTTTGCAGAACCGCTTCCAAATGCCCCTTTCCAAAGGGCGGCTGCCTTGGAGCTGCCCAGCCGTGCTGGAGTGTGCTCGGCTGGTCAGTGGCCGCGTTCGCGGGGCAGCGGCTGCGGTGTGAACGCGTAGGTGAAGCGTGCAGACACCTCCTGCTGCCCACTGAGCCTGTCCGAGGGAAGCCCCATCCTCGGTACATGCCATCCTGGTCACAGCGTAGTGACTGCAGAGCTCTGAGGACACCAGCTGCCAGCTTGAAGGGAGAATAACTTAGCAATGAACCTGCTTTTGATGGGAATGTATTAAACCACAACTCCCGTGTCGGGTACTCTGTATCCTTGAGCCGTTATTTAGCACCTGATATTATGGAAATAGTCTTGGGCCAGGAGTTCAGGATTCCCAACTAGCATTAGTATGTGTGCTTGCTTAAACCCTATTAAATTTATGTTTATTGTTCCTGTAAACTGCTGACGTTGCCATGTATTAAAAATGCAAATAAATAAAGCTTATTTCTGTAAATCACCTTTCTCTTGGAAACAAAACAGCGTCTTTTTCTTAAATCACCTTAAGGAGTCTGACAACTGAAAGGAGTGTTTTTATTGATGTTTATTTTATTTTATTTTATTTTATTTTTTTGACAAAAGGACTGTATATAAAGAAGAGGCAGATGAGGAAAAAAAATATTGCAGCTTAAAAACTCCTTCCCCCTGGCCCGGGGCGGCCGGCGGAGCTCGGTGTCCGGGCTGCGCGGGGCACAAGAGGGCAGTGTTTGCTTACGGTGCCGGGTCTTAGCGGTAAGTCTGCGGGGTGGCAGGTCAGCCTGGATGGAGGGACCTTCCTGTGCACCCAAACACAGCTCGGTAGCAGGTTTGGAGCTGAACTGGGCCTGCCTTTCCCCTTCCTCAAGAAAACTCACTTTGTGCTTTCGAGAAGTTTCATTTTGTCTTCGGTCCTCTGTATTTTAAGCAATCAAAAAGTACAGTCTGTTTGTATGTGCATTGCATGACAGGGGGGCAAGTAATGCAGATGAGACCAAACAACTGATTTTCACCCAGGTCACCTGTGAGGGGGAAGATTCTGCATCCCCATAGTCAGGGTCTTTTTTTTTTTTTTGTCTTACATTTATGGAAGGATCATCTAGTTTGACCTGTAAAGCACTTGGAGAAGCGAGAACGATGATATTCTGTGTGCACGTAGTTATTTCCCTTTCCTCCCATCATGTAACAACTAATTAACTAAGTAACCCCAAGGTCCTTGTCCCAAGTCCTTCCTGAGCCGGTCCTGTGCTGTATAAGGCTGCTGGAGCAAGACTGGAGTAGAATGAAGCTTCTTTTCAGGTGTGTTTTACAGGTGTGGGATGCTTTAAAATAGCCTTTTTTCATGCAGAGTTTTTTTTTTTTTTTTAATCTCTGTATCATAACTTCTATGGTGGAACACTGAGTTTTCCTCTTCAGGCATTACACTTATTACTCTTCCTCTCTGCAGGTATTAACATCTTTGACAGTGGTATCGTAGTGAGACTGGTCTACTCGGCCGTTATGATCTAGTTTGTATCCGCTTCTGGTTCCTTTCACTTGAAGCTGATTTCTTCATTAGAATGTTCAACAGGTTCCTAAGCTAAGCATTGATCTGTAAGTAGTATTGGATGGCAAATCTAGAAGAGTCTGGAGACTAGAGAGTCTAGAGAAGTGGAAAAAATCGAAAGGAGCAAGAAAGCCATTAGCTCTTGATCTCCACATTATACTGAATAATAGGTATGACTGAATAACCAGAAGTAGGAAAGATTCATCCAGAAACATACTGTGATTTATAATTTACTTCTCCATCTAAAATAGATTCTAAACCAGGGTGGCTTTATTGAACAGCTTCCTTGTTTAAATGTTAAATTGTCCCTTGTAATACATTTCTATAAAAAAAAATCTCCGGTGCTTTTACATGGTTGTATGCATACTTGCTTATATACAGCAAGATTGTGCTAATTCACATTTCATTATTTGACACAAACTTGACAGCTTCTCAGGAAAACATAATAACCATCGGCAGGAGCGGTGCTGAGTAAGTCTGTTGTTTGATCATTCTTCCTATTGATTTAAAAACAGAATTTCTTTGTTCCATCCTACTGTGTACTTGCATTCATTAAGTAACTACATGGCCTTTCATTTCAGCTTTGCTTCATGTTTCTTCTTGCTTGAAATTATTTTGCAAGCTGTTTGGGAGAGTGGTCAAGTTCTAGTAATCCATTTTTAGATGTTTAGATGTTAAAATATAGGCTAATGTAGCAAAGTCATCTTATACCTTCATAAAAATGTAGTACAACTAGGAGATGTTAAGGAGATGGAGTGTGTTTTTTAATTAAAATTACCCTGATCAAAATAAATTCAAAGCACATTTTTTTTTCAATCTAATATTTTTACTTATAATGGATGTGTTTGCTTGCTAAATAGTTCAGATTAGTGATTCACACCCATCCACTAATCAACGAACTTCTAACGAGATTCAACTGTGTTTGTTCTGCAGCTTGATGTAGAAGCTGCCTTCAATTCGGAGATGCCACATGGAAGCTGGATGGCGCGTTGCTTGGAATAGGAGCCACTTTTGTGGGAACGACTAGTTTAACCCAATGTGGCCATGAACGGTTTCCTGAATAGGTCTGTTTTGTTTGTTCTGGAAGAAATTCTGTGTGTTCTTGGAAGGCTGCTACAAAACACTTGTTTTCTTCCTTAAGATTAAAAAAAAAAAAAAAAAAAGGCAGATGGAAAAACCAAGGGTAGAATTCCCAAAACGCTGCATGGCGCGGATTCCAGCTAAGACAGCGAACCAACCCTCTGAGTTTCCGATGTTAAAACCCGCAGGTTTGATTGTGGCAACTAGTTGTTTTGTGTCCTGGAACTGTAAGGTTGGCTGGCAAGCTGGACAGCAAGGACAGATATTCCTTGGTGGTAATTTCCAGCTGGATTCATGCATGCGTTTTATTCTGTGGGTCACAGCTCACAAGGGAGCCAAACCGAGTGAGAATTCCAGCAAAGAAAGACTCGAACAGCTCGTACGATGGCTCTGATTGCAGAGATACCGGCTGTTCTGTGAGAAAATATTCTCAATGCTATCTCTAAAATTCAGATTAAATAGCCATTCTGAAGTGCTTCCTTTAAACTGTTTGCTTCCATAAGCATTGCAAGCTAAGTAAATACCAATAATTCTTATTTCCCATCTCCTTATCAGTTATTCCACTGAAATGTTCTTGCATAGCCTATCTAATCTCTTGAAGTGAACATGAAATGGTTAGTGTTGGCTCCCAATTTGAATTACGATCTCTTTTTCAAGCCTAAGCTGATTAATTCTACATTAGATTGTAATTATCAGCATTACCAGCAGCAGCGGTGGTTGCTACCAGACAAATATGTATGTTGAGTATGACAGCAGAATGCGGATAGTGGAAGAAAAGGAAATAGAATAAAGAGTTTAAATAAAAATGAATTATATTCAGTGGCAGGTTAGAGGGGGTAAAGGATGGCATGGAGACTGGAAGAAAAAAAATCCAAGTTTGGATTTGGGGATTTTAGCAGAAGGTGAAACGGGCGCCTCCAGAGAAGATGCTGTGAAGAGACAGTTCGTTGGGCTTACTGTTTCGTGTGTTTAAAATATGTATAGTTTTTCTTCAGTTTGTTCTTCTGCAGAAGAATCATGAGTGAGGGTGGTTTTCTCCAATGCTGGTTTTTCTT